AACATGAGGTTACATTGTTTGAAAATCAGTAAATCATATATGAACAGAAATTTGTGTTGCAGTTTGTCATGTACAGTCCATCATCAAATCCAATTTTATTAATATCTTGTGAGAAGTGCTGTTTTAGAACAAACCACAGCACAGGTATAACTGGCAAAATACAACTCATATGTTCACCAGGAACCCCGAACGGGAGTGGTGGGAGTACTTCCTTATCTGGCCGTGAGGGGGATGTGTGGCTCAACCGGGTATGCCAATGGTTTTCAGGGTTTTTTGTCTTGAACAAGCGATTTCATCACTTTTTGTCTTAAACAGGGTTTCTTTATTACAAGACCATCAATGAAAAGGCCTTCAGTGCTTGATGCATACTAAGAATTAATGTAAACAGCTTAGTGACTGCATAATAAGGGGTGGCGAATGGTCTATCAAAAATAGCGAATCTCGGCAAATTTAAGGCAAGTCTCGGAATCTCGGCACTTAAAAAAAGCGTCTCGGAATCTCGGGCTCGCCAGAAATAGGACGGTCTCGGAGTCTCGAATTTTGTATCTCGCAAATGCAGCTTCTTTTATACTCTATTTTCTCAGAGTTTTGGATCATTGCGTCTCGAGCTCGGATTTTTTGAGCGCTAAGTCTCGGGCTCGGATTTTTAAACCAGGGTCTCGGCGTCTCGGCAGTCTCGGATTTTACCATTCGCCACCCCTATAATAATTAAAATATCAGTAAATTGGATGTACAGATTACGTCCTGATTTTCATCAACTTTTCCTTCTATTTACTTGCCTAAAATGCCTTGTTAAGCCAAGATTGTCGACGAACATAAACTTTAAGATGCATGTGTCATAAGCTTGATACAATATTTGCATCAGATCTGTATGGGATTTACAATGGCTCGCCTTCGGCTCGTGATTGTAAATGCCCATATACAGATCTGCCGCTCATATTGTATCTATCACTAATTGCCAATGCTGCGTTAAAATAAGAAGCAGTTTATCACTATTCTGTTCTTGTCTTTAAACTAATTAAGAGTATGATTAGACAGGTCTCAAAAATCGGAATTCTGTCTTTAACAAAGGTCAGGATTTAAGTGGCCGCACCTCCCTACCCGAGCATCTGTTGAGTACCTCCCCCAGGCACTTTTCATGCTTGCAGTCTAAATTAACTGTTAACAGTTAGGTTAAAGTTTGTATATAAACCAACTGGCTTATCAGGCCAGTGCTAAACTCTGGTTTCCATATATATAGCATGCAACGACTAGGAGTATCACTACTCCTCTGGATGGGATGTTAGTCCTTTGCAGGTACCCACCACCCACCCATTATGTTTCTCAGGGTGCCCATTAATACACTGATCGTGGGTGGAGAGAGAGAGAGCACTGTGACAGTCAAGTGTCTTGTCCAAGAACACAACGGACGTTTTATTAAGAACATAATTTCTCATTACTTTGATTTCCATAAATTTTTATTCTTTGTTCACTCCTGGGAATCACAACAGGGAGTTGAGTAATTCTTTCCATTTTTTGTTATGAATTTCTAACGTTTTATTCTCCTTGGCTATTAAAAACTCTAATTTGTAAGTACATTTAATCCTGGCCTTAAGCAACGAAAGGGATGGTTTTATGTTGAGACATCGGCATTGATAGATCACTTGCTTACAAAGGATGATAATATGATTTAATAGTAGGAAATCCTTCCGAAAAAAACCAAATGTTATATTAGAAGCATTTAAATTATGAAGGTTAATAAAATAATCTTTCAGCCACTTCGTTACTGAAAGCCAAAAGCTGCAAGTAGTTTCGCAGTAAATAAATAGATGCTCGAGGGATTCGTCAGACTTTCCACAAAAAAGTGCATGTAGGTGAGGTGACAATACCCATTTTGTAAAGTGCTTTATTAGTGTAAACAATAAATTATATTTAAAAATTTATACTGGAATTCTCTGGTTTTAGAGTCAATGGTTACGCTTCTCGGAAGTAGATAAATTACTCCATGTTGTTCAAAACTAGATTTTAATCATATATAATATGTAGTAAATAGCTTATATACAGTTACTTCCTTTTTTTGTAGATACGCTGTATGTGTACTGTTTAGTATATTTTTCTTGTATCGTATTGTTTTTTTCCTATATATTTTTCATTGTTCATTGTTCTGTAAGTAGTATTTATTGTGAATAAAGTGTGAAATCATTAAAAAAATAAAAATAAAAAATAAAATAAACAACAACAACAACAACAGGGAGTTGAGGGAGTAAATGCTTTGAGGTGTTTTTTACAAAGGATCCACCTCTTAAAATCCATTTCAGTGCGTTGTTTTGTATTTATATTTGGTATTTGCACGTTGAATAAATAAATATGTATGCATGTAATGAGTTGACTTCAAGGACTGAAAGGCAGGAAGCCTTCAAACTTATTTAATTTCTAAAACTTCCATTCATCCACTATGGCCATCCCCATAAAATGTTTTGGTCGGACGATGGGAAACAAAACATTTTATGGGGATGGCTATGGAAGATTTTAAATTATGGAAATTTAGATTAGCTCTGTATATATGTCACACAATAAATCACCATAGCACAAAAAGTTATAAATATTTATTTAGTGAAATTCCACCCAAGTACGTTTCCTTTGCTATGTCTCCTGACACGATAAGTAAACGAGTAAGTGCCACGCGTATAATATGCGTTTTGACACCGAACTTTGAGCACAAAATTCGGCAAGAAGACAAGTGGCGCTTAGGGCGCTTTCTGTCTAGCAGATTCATGCACATTCGACGAGCAATTGGCCGAAATTTCAGGCAAATTCCACTACACAATTTCCTACAAACTTGCCATTTCTGATGTACACTTTGCAGACTGTATGGCAAATGGCGTCAAAATAGCGATTGATTTCTTTATAAAAATACAACTTGAGAACTAAAACAATTTACCTCCAGAATATAGAATATCACTTTCAGGTTGATTTCCTTTATGTTGACCGGCAAATATGTTTTAAAATGGCTAAGGCGAACACATAATTGGCGTTGAAAATACGCGCATCTTGCCACCAAACAGCCGCCATCTTTAAAACATGACAAAATAATGCTTTGCGATCACTTCCATTCTCTTTCATTGTTATACAAACAGCCAATCAAAAAATTCGACATTAATTCCATTCCCCCAGAGTCTTACCTGGCGACGACCCGCTGACCGAGGAGACCGTGGACTCTGGGTACGAGATTGATCGCTAGGCTGTTTAAAAAATGAAAATATCTGGCTAGTCAGTTTCTGTGTGCGGGTTCGACCCTGGTTCGATTGAAGTTTACCTGGTTTTCCTGGAGAACTCATGTGTTTCATGCGTCGATCGTTCATTACGTATTAAAGCGAACATTTTGTGAACCTCCAGCTAAACGCCCTTTCGGCCAGATGCAGCTTAGTATCCTGGCCTTCCTTTGATATAAATTACAGGAAAGTGCCGAGAGGAATAGCGAAAAAAACGCGAATTTTAATTTTTCATCACAGTGAAAACAATTTCAAGGCGTTGCCGTACGTTCAGTGTACGTTTTTCATGTGTGATAGGCAGTTTTCTTCTGGCGGATCAAGGATTGTAGCGAACCTTGAACTCTCACTCACTCAGAAGGTAAACAAATTGATGATGTTGCTTTACTAAAAGTCCTTTCAATTCTGATCGGCGTTCACATTCGATTTTATAGCCACAATTTGCTTCGCCTACTTGTCTTTTTCCCAAACTATGCATACCTACCTCCCTTTCATTCGAATTTCGTCGTCAATTGTGTTCTAGCAAGAGAATATTCTCTTGGTTCTAGTTACTTGTTCTTGTGAACATCATCAATGCACTGATGGTATCGATATCATAAATGGAAAACTTTGCTAAAATCAACTTTTGCGATATTTCTCTTTACTAGCTCATTTAAAATCCGGCGATGTCAAAACGGAGCCATTGTTGGTTGAGAGCAGATATATTTTTGAAGATGATTTCTTTCACGATCTGCGAAGTTGAATAATCGATCTACGTCGACACATACTGAAATGAGGTCATTGTTTCCCGAGCGACCATCTGTTCTTTGTCTAGATCGCAGCTTCTTGAAGAATCAGTAATATCCCCAACATTTGATGAAAAATAATACTATTGTATTTATGTTTGGTTGTGTCATCCTTTTACTCCTAGACTTACTACACATCTCTGTATTTCTTCGAATCCACCGTATTATTCTGTTCTTGTTCTGTCCTCTCTTCTCGCTCAAAACCTTAGTCAGTTTTATGTGTTCTGTGAGTGTGTGTGTGTGTGTATGCGTGCATGTTTTGAGGTCCGTTTTGTATTTTATCTTTGCCTCGTGTCAGACCCCTTCCCGCTATTGTCCTCATTTGAAACTAAAATCTACCGGTATTACCTTTATTGGCACCAATTTGACTCCAAAACAGCAATTCTGTTTTCAGTTCCAGGTTAGAAGACGCGGAGAAATTGCGCCGAATATGGCGGGATATTCCCAGTAGTCTTGGTCAGTGTGAAACGACTGTGCTGTCACAAAGCTATAAACTGACAATGTTTTGTTGGCTCATCCAAGACACATGCATTTGAGAGATTTTTATCCGGATTTGGTGCAGACTCTTAGACTTTGTAGCACACCAAGTCGGTTGCGCGTCTGTTTGCTGGTTCCAGATCTCGCGCGCAAATGCTGACCGCACCCAAACTGCTCTCGGTTGTTTTAAGACCGTATAGTAACCCAGTGATCAAATCAGTGCTACTTTAACTTCAGAAATTTTCGGACCTTTTTCTTTTCGGACATAAAAGTTCGGACAAACAACTTTTGGACGTTTATTTCGGCACATTTCGGACGTGATCACTGAGAATAAAGTCAGTTATGCCGCATTAGTAAATGAGCGATTTATTTCATCTCTGCAAATATAAACACGGCATATATATTTGTAACTATGTTCATCATCAGATCGAGAGTTTAAACTCTGATATGCCTTGAAGGATAAACAGAACAAACTCACTCCACTGTGGTTGCCTCGATAGCTCAGTAGTTAGAGCACCTGCCATGAGTTCAGGGTGTCGTGGGTTCGATTCCCGCTCTGGGCATCTGATTATCCCAACCATTGTTCTGTATTAATAATAATAATAATAATAATAATCTTTATTTATATAGCGCCGTTTCTACTAAAAAACCAACAGCGCTTAACAAAACTACTTATTATAAACAAATAAACATTACTTTACTGATATGATAATTTACTATTATAAAAACGAATAATGTATTACCCCTGCAAGGTATCTTTGTCCAACAATTTCACACATGGGCGGTGAAACGACCACTGCGCTCTTGTGCGATGTTTGATGCGGAGTGAGACTGGGTTTGAGCGCCCTCGAGAGCGCTCGCGTTCAAAACATGTCGGGAAATGAAGTTCAATAGCTGATGCAGAAAAGGGATTGCCACAAGAGAACGGTACGGGATCTCCACTTAGTTTTTGTAGAATGAACATGTCAACATGTTGGTAAGGCTGTAAGCAATAAAGAACGGGTTCAATATGTAAAATCAACAACGATTTTATTTCAAATAAGTCGAGCTGCTTCGAAACGCGTTGCTCTTTTAGTGTGGGCGCGAAAAGACAGACGTTGATTGCCTACGATCTAAACCAAACAAAACGGTAATTTTCGGCGTATGCATAGAGCAACCTTCGCTTTTTCATCGGTGTAAATTTCATTTTGAACTTTTTTGAACTTTTTGTGCTACACGCCATAGACGTCAGTGCACAGTTGTTCTCTCATAATACGGTGAAATTGGTCATTTGACGTTGTTGTTTTGCAGACCGGACGGCTAAGAAATGTACCAATATGTAAAACGCAAGTGCAGAGCCATTGTACGAGAACGACACAAAACAATAGGTGTAATTAGCAGTACAATGGTTTTGCACGCGTGCGTTTTACATATTGGTACATTTCGTGGCCGTCCGGCCGGTCTGCAAAACAACAACGTCAAATGACCGATTTCACCTTATTTTGAGAGAACAAAGTTCTGTGCACTGACGTCTAGAGCGTCTAACTCGAATATTTCAAAAAAGTTCAAAATGAAATTTACACCGATGCAAAAGCGAAGCCGTTGCTCTATGCATACGCCGAAAATTACCGTTTTGTTTGGTTTAGATCGCACGCAATTAGCGTCTGCCTTTTCGCGCCCACACTAAAAGAGCAACGCGTTTCGAAGCAGCTCGACTTATTTTAAATAAAATCGTTGTTGATTTTACATATTGAACCCGTTCTTTATTGCTTACAGCTTTACCAACATGTTGAAATGTTCATTCTACAAAAACTAAGTGGAGATCCCGTACCGTTCTCTTGTGGCAATCCCTTTTCTGCATCAGCTATTGGACTTCATTTGCTGACATGTTTTGAACGCGAGCGCTCTCGAGGGCGCTCAAACCCAGTCTCACTCCGCATCAAACATCGCACAAGAGCGCAGTGGTCGTTTCACCGCCCATCCATTCCAGCGCCCTGGTAAAACTAACTACAATATACAATCGCCGCATACAGGGGGTGATATGCTCCTGCCGCATATATATAGTTGACAAATACCTCGACAAAAGCACCAGAAAGGCTACGTTTATCGCGGAACTTTTCAAGTTCTTGTTTTCCTCTTCGACTTCAATAGATAGACTATTTCCAAGTTCCTTTTATCTCCGTTTCAAGTTCATTTTCATGCAAATAAAACACATTTTCATTTGCATGTGTTCGCACCAGGACTAGTTTTTGAAACAGAGGCACTGAAAGGGAACTAGGAAACGGGCCGCCATTTAAATATAGTGTACGTAGCAAGAATGATCTGGGAATGGGATATTGGTCTCGTATATGGGACACAATGTATTACCATTTATTACCGTTGGGTATTACGCAGCAAATTTCTCCGCAAGCTACCGGATCGGTTGTAAACGATTTATTTTTGCCAGTAAAGTTCAGTAAAATGCTAAAAGTAATGAAAGTCTTTGCAACCTAACTAGGAGAATATTTTTAATACGAGCAAGCGTATAACAATAACAGCGTATAAAATATATGTATTTGCTTTTTATTTTTACACTCTTCCAGATTACACAGCGATTTTATAATAACACGGAACAGGAACTCTAGAAAGAGAAATCAGCAGAAATCATATTCAAGGTAAGTAAAGATACGTATCTTCATTTCAGCTCTCGTTGTATTCCACTGGTCTTGCGCTCACATTGTCCTACAAAAGCAAGAGAAAATGAGATTTTCTGTTGACAAAACTGAATACAAGCCTTTAAGCTTCCAATTAAAGAACAAGATTCTAACTTAAGCTGACATCTCACTTATACTCACCTCAGCAATTTATCAGGTGTACGTATAAGTTTTCGGCGATTTCATTTTTCTGATTCAATAGCTATTTGGAAAACGTAGCCGGGATACATGTAGCTGTATCAACTGAGACACAGTGCATGCAAATGACGACGCTATTACTCGATCCTTCCTTCTTCATGCATGGTTAACAACATAATTTTTCCTATTTTGAAATACAATGACAATAAATTTCAACTTTTTTCAATCAGCTTGAATTTAGTTGATACCACTGAGCAAGCTAGCGTATAAAAACTCTATATATTTACTTTTTATTTTTACTCTCTTCCAGATTACACAGCGATTTTGTAATAACACGGAACTCAGTGGAACTCTAAAAAGAGAAATAAGCAGAAATCATACTCAAGGTAAATAAAGATCGTATCTTTATTTCAGCTCTCGTCGTATTCCACTGGTTTTGCGCTCACATTGTCCTACAAAACTGAGCAAGAGAAAATGAGATTTTCTGTTGACAAAACCGAATACAAGTCTTCCAATTAAAGAATAAGATTCTAACTTGGGCTGGAATCTGTACTTATTTACATGTATACTACCTTCAGCAATGTATCAGGTGTACGTATAAGTTTTCATTTCAGTTCTTGTGCATGTGGCTATTTAGAAAACGTATATGTTAGCGGCATACTTGTACTTGAACTAAGACACAGTGCAAATGCCGGCGTTGTAAACCATTCAACGAAAATATTACTTAATCCATCTGCATGCACTGGAAACAACTTAATTTTTCCTATTTTGAAATACAATAATAAATTTTCGACTTTTTTGTCGCGAACCATGTTCGGCCCTTTCACAAATCATGCGATCAGCAATTAACTATTACCAGCGAGCTTTGTCTTTGTGACTGCAAATTAAAATAAATCGAAGCATTAGTGCAATATAATCGATATAATATATATTTGCTGGAGGCAATACAGTTCTGAAAATGACTATTCATTTTGAGCATTAAAAAAAACTTGTCAATGGTAGGACCTGGTGGGGATCCATCGAGAACCTAACGGTTTTCTCAAAACCTCTGCATGGCGTTTTTGCACACCTGTAACATGATGGGGCTTTCTAGATCAATGTGTTTCTGTATTGAGCGAAAGTCGTTCACATAGTTGTTGTTGTCGTCATGATTGTCTTTGGTATTGGGCTGTCTATACGTTGCATTGCGGAGGAACACGCAACTTTACATTCTAGTTGAAATCCCCGTCTCGGATAATGTATAAAGACATGCTATGTGTGCAATGGACCACCGTTTGTTCGGGATCGTGTAGACTGAAGTAACATGACTAAAAGTCCTAAAAGCTCTGACAACTCGTCCCCAGTCGTCTCTCCTAAGAACATTGTACTCCACGCGGGAACGATCGATCTCTTCTTTGACTCCTTCCCATCATCCCCCCGGGATGAGCTTTTTTTATCCCCACTTCAAGATGGCGGCCATTTACGTTTTGTCATGATTCAGGTTAACTGGCGACAGTTTTGATACCTCCACGTTTAAAGACTTTTTACCCTTGAGTTTCATCAAAAGCCGATTACCGTTTGCACCAAGATCTGAGAAAAAATACAAATAAAAAAGACCGGCTGCGAGCAGTCTGAATGGGGAGGCTTATCACTTCTAAATTGCAAACTGGCTCCCTCTGATTGGTGCAAGTTAATTGTAATATTAATAACAATTTAGGTGATTACAGAACTTGATGAGCATATGCACATGCTGTTACAAGTTCTATCTTTTACAGCTGAACTAGACTGCGAGCCCGTACGGTGTCTATTATTCGCTAAAGTCCGTGAGGCGAACGCGCGCGAATAGCACGATATATTCGCGCGCGTTCGCCTCACGGACTTTAGCGAATATTATAATAAAGTGTCAATATAACACGCGCTCTGATTGGTTTAAACAGCGTGCTTTATAGATTCTTTACGCAATCCGCAGAGTTGAAGATCGAGTTTGGTACGAAAATAAACCTCTCTGTGTTAACAACCTCGGAGGTATGATGAAGGAAATTTCCAAATTGTCTTCTCCATAGTGTTCGTGCAACTGCGATCACTGGTCTCCATCTCGCAGCATCGATCTCGGCACGATGGTCATCGCAGCGAAGCAAGCCTGAAGAGTTACAACGCTCGTCATTTTAGCGATCAATTGAAAGCTTGCTTGAATATCCTCTCCGATGCTCTGAGTGGAAGGCCAAAACAGTCCAGTCTTTCTAACATTGTCACCAGTTCGGGCAATCCTCCTCTTGCTGCCGTAAATACAAGCGACGATCTTCATTCACAAAACATAGCGCAGCAGTTTGTGAAGGTTCAACCGCAAGATTTAAGCAGTTTGTTTTCCAATTGTCATGTTGGAAACTTGCAGGTTTTCATGGGCCACAATTCGGCCGTATTTCATTGAAAAAGTTCAGATTTTTAGCTTTTTTAAGGACTGAAAAGTGAACATTGAAGGACTCGTTTTGCATTCGAATTGAGTTCTTGCTCATTTCAGTTTTTGATGTTTTGACAGCTTTTGTCTCGTTGACCAATCAAATCATTTGAAGCATTCTTACAAGCGTTGTGATTGGCTCGAATTAGCGTGCTTTATCAGAGTCCAAAGCACGGGTGCTGACGACATTCAGTTTGTTCTCGATGTAAAATGGAATGTTTGTTTCGGAAAATAAAATTACAATTGTGAGGAAATCATGGATTTTTTTATCATAAGACAAATAAATAAGCCTCAACTGTGCTCTGTTCTGTTATAAAGC